TCGGATGGAGTGCGCTCACACATACATACACACGCAGGCACATGCACCCACACACACGCAGACACGCGCGCACACACTCACTCATGTTCCTCTGTGTGAAAGTGGCTTGCCAGTGCTTCACCTGCATCGGTGTGAAAAATCCCCAGTCTCCTGAAGCAGCACAGCAAGCAACCGCCTGGGGGACAGAAGTCATGGGAATGAGCCCTGTCACGTTACTGGATCACTGCTGCACCATGGGGGGAGGGGTGTTTGCCCCAAAAGTGGTACAAAGGGGGCCATGTGAGGGGTCAAATAGAAGCTACTTTCTTCTGATTCCATATCTGCTCTTCATGTGATTGTAGAATGTCTGTGTGTGAAGTTCTAAGCATGTACTTTGTGTGATACCGAATGCTTCTCTGTATGTGGTTGAGCAATGGGCGAAAAAGCTCGGCCTATGGACATGCTAATGAGCAAGTCTCTGTGGAACAATGGCCCTCTGTAGGCCAAGGACACCTCAAGAGTGGGGACTGATACCTGAGGGCTACCAGCAGGGAACACAGGGACAGGCCGCTGGCCAGGTGACCTGCTGCAGCCAAGAGGAGACCAGGAAGGAGGGATAAAAAGTGCCATGCAGCGCGCTCCATTTTGTCTCCAGATTTGCTCTTAATCCCAGATGCTGCTTCGCAGGGAACTACGAGCCAGGAAGACCTGTGGACCCATCCTGACATAGGATGTGCACCAAGGACTTTTAAACCAGCAGCTGTAACATCTCTGCTAGAGCCTACATCGAGAACTGGGAGATTCGGTGCATGTAACGTATGATACTTTAACAACCTCACTCTCATGCTTTTCTTTCTTGTAGTAATAAACCTTTAGAGGATAGATTCTAAAGGATTGGCCGCAGACGACCTGTTCCTTGTTCTCGCCCCGTAGTTGACTCCCTCCGTCGCTCAGCCGAGATCCGGTCTCTGCGCGGTTCCCTTTCTCTCCGGGACTCCCGTTCACACCCGGACCGGCTCTCCGTGAACTCATCCGCCAGTCTCCCGGCCTCCTGGGGGTTCTCTGGTCTCCGGTCCTTGAGCCACAGCCTCAGTTTGGGTGGGCACGCTTCATAGAACTGCTCCATCATGACCAGCTTGAGCAGCTCCTCTGCGGTCTGGGCTCCGACTCCAGACACCCACTTGCGGCAGTATTGCGCCAGGCGGGAGGCCAGGTCCACATAGGTCTCCCGTGGCCCTTTCTGTACCCCCCGGAACTTCTTCCTGTACATCTCGGGGGTCAGCCCGAACTTGTGCAGCAGGGCCTCCTTGACTCGGTTGTAATCCCCGGGCTGTAGGTCCTCCAGCTGACTGAGCACTCCGGCCGCCTCCTGGTTCAGTGCGGGGACGAGCTCCTGTAGCCAGTCAGCTGGGGGGACCCCTTGCAGTCCACAGGCCCTCTCAAAGGAGCTGAGGAACCCGTCTATGTCGCCCATGTCCTTCAATTGGGCCACCACGAGCCTCTCCAAGCGTCTGGCAACCCTGGGGCCCTGGGGCCCCTCCACTCTTGGCACAGCCGGTGCCCCGCCGGTTCTCCACTCTGCCATGGCCAGCTCATGCTGTCGCTGCCTCTCTCGATCCTGGTGCTCCTTCTCTCGGTCCTGGCGGTCCCTCTCTCGATCCTCTACTTCCAATTCCTTGATCCGCAGCTGGATCTCCAGCCGCCGCAGCTCCCCTGGGCTGGCTCCTGCCCTAGATGGGCTACAGCTTGCAGGCCTCCCGGGGGGGGGCTGTCTCATCTCTCCGGTGGGTTACAGCGCTCCGCCCCCTCTCAGAGCCTGACACACTCTCAGGGCAGGTCTGGCTGCTCCCCCTGAGAACAAGATCCTGGCCCCGTGGCTGGTCATTCTCTTCCAGCTGGGCAAATAGCTGGGCCTTGGTTGCTTTCTGCACAAGCAAGCCCCTCTCTCTGCACAGCCCCACCAGCCCGCTGCCCGCTGGCCCCCTCAGTGCAGACTCACCAGTCTAGTGCTGCAGCACCCCACGATTTCCAGGAACTGCTTCGCTCTGTCTCCCGCATGCCTGGCTCCAGGGCTCTTGCTTCTACTGAGCCTTGTCGCTCACCGTTGGGAGCTCCATCCACAGGGTGCAGTGCATCCCACTTCTAACACGAGTGTGACGGCGCGTTGGGGTCCCCCGTCTCCTGCACCCCATCATGGCACGAACAGACTGCACCAGCCAGTAGAATAGAGGTGGTTTATTGCTTCTTCAAGATACAGCACAAGATACTTGCTATGGGGCAGGGGTCTCGGCTTCTAAACCCCCCAGCTGAGGCTGCTTCCTCCATGCTCCCAGACAGCAACTGACTAACTCTCCTCCAGCCCTGCCCCCCAGCCAGGGCCGCATTCAC